GATCAAAAAAAAACAAAAAAAAAAAAACAAAAAAACTAGACTAAATTATCCTTCTCAATCAGGGTAGACTTATAATTTAGCAATACAGAGATTAATAACTTGAAAATGCTTCTTTTATAAATTCTTAAAAATGTAACAATAACTTTTATAAGCACACAAACTCTTAAAATGTGGAGAGACTAACTCAAGAACTGGTTGGCTACTAGGATGATAAGCATTAGAACTGTGACAGGATTGGGGAAATGTTAGTTTTCATTTTCTAGGTATTTATTTACATTTTAAAATACATACAGGAACAAAAGGAAACAGCCCGAGTTTTCAGGAGGCAGGGAGTTTGAAGAGAGACTGTCCTATGTAATCTCTGCCCAAGAGGCATATTGTTAAGTGAAATGGTAAATTACAAAATCTTCCAAACAGCTGAAAAGGACAAGACATGTAATTTATTTTGACTTGTGTAACATGTGTGAAAAAAACTTCTGTAGAAATTCATTAACAAGGTTACTTAAGTTCTAGCTTTTGGGATTCTAATCCACATTCCTTCTGTGGTCCATATGTTCTCAGGCTGAGAAAGTGCCATAAATATTGGCCCCAGAATGGTCAGTTTGTTTGCTTCTAGGAAACAAAACAAATCCAAATCTACTCTGAAGAACATATGCTCAAATTTGACCAGATACAGTTCTTACACGTAAAAATATCATCACTGAAAATGAGCTCACAGTCTGATAATATAAACAAAATGAGGAAATTGTCCAGTATGAACACTCACAAATCTCAAAAAGCAATACAGTGAGATCCCTAGCAACTTTGTGATCTACTCTTTCAAATAGGTACGTTTAAAACTGCTAAATACATAAAAGAATAAAACACAAACAAAAGAGAGAAAAACAGAAGTCCTAGAAATGAAAATAAGCACTGAAATATTTTAAATAGATTAGATACACTGAAGAAAAAAAATAAACCTAAAGAGCTGAAGAAATTAATCAGCATCCACTATTCAGAGATAAAAAGATGTGAAAAATAAGAGGAAAGGCCAAGAGATATAAGACACGAGAAAGAAGAGGTTCAACACAGAGTAACGCAAGAGAATGAAAGAGAGAGAGAATAGCAGAATGCAATACTCAAAGGTTTACAGTTAATAATTTTTTTTTTTCCCATCTTTTTGAGACAGGGTCTGGCTATGCAGTTCAGGCTGACCTTGAGCTCACTTTGTAGCCCAAGCTGGTCTCTAACTTGCAATGATCCTCCTACCTCAGCCTCCTGAGTGCTGGGATTACAGGCATGCACCACCACGCCGGCCTACACTTAATAATTTTTAAGAATAACAAAAGGTCTGAATTCTTAGATGAAGGAAAGTATAGTAACCAGCTCTACCCCTACACACATTGTATTAAATTATGAAACACCAAAAGTAAACATTAAACAATAAGAAAAGAATATCTACCAGGAAATAACAATAGACTGATAGATGAATTAATACTAACAATAGTAGTCAAAAGAATAGAACTGTACCTTGAAAGTGATAAAATAACTTTCAATATAGTATTCACTATCTATCCAAATTATGATAATTAATGAATGTTAAAGACATTTTCATAAAAAAGATGACAGACCTGTAATTTATAGAACTTTTCAGAGAAAGGTACAGAAAACACAAAATTGAACTCAGATGGAAGAATGCGATACTAGAAGCAATCATAAACAAGGGTATTAATAAAGTTAGACATAGCTACATGGTTGTTAACTGCATAAAAATTTAAAAAAAAGAGAAGGAGGAGGAGGAAGAACACAAGGAAAAGGAAAAGAAAAGGTGTACAATCACTATAGGGTTGAAAAGTAAGCTGGTATTTCATAGAAAATGTAACTATGGTTTGTTGGCTTATTAATAATAATAATAATGATACGGCAGTACTGGGATTTAACCCACAGTCTTCTCATTGAGTTACAGGCCCAGCATTTTTTTTTTTTTTTTTTTGGAGACAGGCTCTGACTAAATCACTCATTTGTCCAGCTGGGCTCAAACTTACAATCTTCTTGCCTTAGGCTCCCAGAGCGCTAGGATTATATGTACCACCATTGCAAAATTTAAAATGCTCCCATTAAACAATAATTTCCTTTCTCTTCCCTTAGTGCCTGGCAACCTTTCAGTCTCTTTAAATTTGCTCTAGATTATCTATAAATAGAATTATGTAAAATGTATTTTTTGTGACTAGTTTATTCTACTTAGCATAATGGAATTATATATTTAGCATAAATGGAATTATATAAAATTTATTTTTTGTGACTAGCTTATTCTACTTCGCATAATGTCCTCAAGGTTCACCTATGTTATAAAATGTGTCAGGATCCTTCATTTTTAACATGTTCCCACTGGCTTGAACTACATGGTACATGCGTGACTGTCCCATCAGGCAGCTCGTACCACTGTAGGAAGAGTCATGCACGGAACAGTCATGCATGTATCATTAGTGGTTCAAGCCACCTACAGGCCCCACTGTGAAATGTGCTAAAGCCTGATTACTTCTAGTGCGTCTGCACATCACATTTCATTTATCTATTTTCCTGTTGATGGGCGTGTGGGTTGCTTCCATATTTTTTGGCCATTGTGAATAATACATACGAATAAGAGTGTACAAATATCTGTTCAAATCTCTGCTTTCATTTCTTTTGGATGTACACACAGAAGAGAAATTGCTAGATCACATGGCAACTTTATTTTTAATTTCTCAAAGAATACATATCTCTTCCATTACAGATCTCACTAGCAAATCCAGTACCATAAAGCCTTCGCCTTTTGCTCTCTTCCAATAGCTTGTATTTTTCATTTTTGTATTTAGGTCTTTGACCCAGTTCATTTTTGCATATCATGTGCAATAAATGAAATTTCTTGTTTCGATTGGGAATGTGGTAGAAAAATTGACTCTACATTTAAGTAAAGTAGGAAGGTTAAAATTTTTAAAGATAAACATTAAAATATTTAAAATAGACTCTAACTTCGAAAAAAGAGAGAGAAATAAAGCTAAAATTTCATCACAATCTAAAGCAGGAAGGAAAAAAAAGAAAAACAAACACATGTATGTAAACAAACAAAAACATGTCATAAAACTGCAGTAGTAATACTGCAAATGAATACATAATAATAATCACAAAATTCACAATTGGATTAAATTTACCTATTTTTCCAGAGGTGTTACACTAGAAACAAAACCAAAATGAATAAGTGAGGGGAAAAATCAGCAAAAATCTGTTTTTGGTTTTTTTCCGGTACCAGGAATTGAACTCACGGCCTTGCACTTGCCAGGCAGATGCTGTGCCGCTGAGCTAAATCCCCAGCCGATAATGAATGAATGAATATGTGTTTATCCTTTTCTGAATGAAAACATCTGTTTAAAATATACAGGCCCAGAAAGTTGGCAAGTAGAGGGATGAGGCTGGCAGTGTAGCTCAGCAGAAGGGCCCATGGTCCTCAGGGTCCCCTGCACACCCTCCAAAAAAGAAAGTAAAGAGATAGAAAGATACACTATGTATATACTGAGCAAAAGGAACTTAGGTAGTTACAGTAATATTAGTCAAAATAGATCCTAAGGCCAAAATCATTAAGATTTTTAAGAAAATTCATTAATATAACTGTAGAAGAAAATAGCCTAGAAGAGACAGCAATTGTGAATAATACACACCGAACAACACTGCTAACAAGAGCTGTACAAAGTACTGATGACTACAAAGAAAATTTAATAAATTTATCACAATAAAGATTTTGAAATAATGGATAACAGATCAGAGAAAACTTGTAAGAATATTAAAAAATTAA